GGAAAGGGACATCATGCTGGGTCAAAGGAAAGTGAACAAGTAGACTCTCAACGAGATGGACGGACACAGTGGCCGGGCAGCGCTGTGTTGGGTTCTACTGGGGTCGTCGTGCGTGGGAGCCGACCTGCCTGTCCCTAGCGACCTAGCAGCAGCTCCCCCTGCTCCAAACCACATCGGAAGCAGCAGAGTTCCCTCCCGACCCACCCTAAGCACAGCCCCCAACATGTTCCCTCTTCACTCCTCCACGGGTCAGAGGGCTCAGGGTCCTGCTGCTAAACCCACTGCCCCTGACCGGGCCCCCATGCTGGGAGGCACAAGCCTTCTGGTCACCGTCACCCCTCCCTCCCAGAGCAGCCAGAGTCACCAGCCCCTCTTCCTGCCGGCCTCCTGAAACAGCCAGCCCTTGCCTGGCCTCTCCGCCGATGGATGCGAACTGGACTGAGGGCTGGAGGAGAAGAGGGAGGGGAATGATGAGAGGGGACAGGGTGTCTGAGAGGGAGGCGGAGTTCCTGGGTGGCAGCAGTGGTTAGCTGACAGGCTGGGGGTTCAAATCCACGCCAAGACTCCTAGGGGACGAGGCCCTGGTGGTCGACTCCTGAGAGAACAGCTCCCGAAACCCGGCGAGCCAAGCTTTCTTCCACACGGAGTCCCCACCAACCCGAAGGCACCTGGCCTGGCTTGGGTTTCAGCAGAACTGGAGAGGAAACCTGAGACAACAACTGCCTGGGTTCAAGGTCAGCCAGAAGCTCGGGGAAGGGGAGAGCGTGCCTTGGGATAATGTCAAGTCTGGGGGGACCACCGAAAATGTCCAGGGTGATCAGGATGGTGACCTAAGGACCAGCTGCCTGGAGGCCAACAAGGCGGCTTCCTTAAGGTGCCAAGGAGGCAGGTGGGGGGCAGGCAGGGCTTCTGCTGGGCTGGACCAAGGTGCACCCTGGAGGCCCTGGACCTCAGCGGATGCGCCACGAGGACCCACTAGTATGGCATGAGACAGATAAACCAGCGATGGAGGCATGTCACCGCAGGAAGAGGCCGCCAGAGCAGCAAGAGCAAGCAGACCCTTGGGGGTGGGGCTCACCCCCCACCAGAGTCGCAGGCCCTGCACATGGTGACCACCGGGGAGGGGGACGCAGCTCTCACTGACAATGACCAAGGCTCCCACTGGCTGATGTGTCCGCCCTATTTCATATCAGTTCTCTCTCTCTCTCTGCTAATTCCCGCATGCCCCAACCAAGACAGAGGGGAGGGGAGCGGGCAGACCAGGAGCAGAAACTAGCAGGGGAAGAGCAAGGGAGACAGGAAAGGAAGGGGGAGGACAGAACCAGCGGGGGGGTTCCAGAGAGAGCACCACCCGCCCACCCCCAGCTCCCCAAGTGGCTGTGATTGTTCCTCAAGCCCCAGCTGCCAGATGGGGTGCTGGTGACTGTCTCCCCTCCCCCAGGACATGGAGCCCCAAGTCAGCCAAGACGGACACACTCACTGCCACCTGCATCCCCCCCGGACTGGGCTCCGCACCCAAGAGGGTCTCAAGAATTATGTCGGAGCGAGCTAAGGACAGGGCAGTTCCATCGAGCTGGGGACAAGGGGGCGCTGGCTGGTGGGACCCTGCTCAGTTGGGCACCTGTGGATGCTGCCATGCACACCCTCATGCTTCCTCCGCTGGAGACCGGTAAGGAAACAGGCCCCGAGAGGCCAGGCAATGCCCCTGATATCAATCGCCCCGTTAATGAGCCCGGGGCTGCCCGAAGCCCCCCTGAGGGATGTGAGTGGGCTGGGAGGGCTGGGGGCAGCCCAGGGCTGACGTAGAACAGGTGGCCCTTGGGAGTCTCGGGGCAGGTGGGAAGGAGTGGCCCGGGGACGGGAAGGAAGCACCCCCCACTCCCCGCCCACCCCGAGGTCCCCTGACCTTTGCGCCCGTCTCGCTGGAAGTCCACGTGGCACCACTCGCCGTCGTTGACCTTGCGGCTGGACGCCCGCAGCTTGATGCCCCCAGAGCCCATGTCCAGCAGCAGGTAGAGGTACCCGTCCAGCAGCTCCAGGGCGAAGTAGTCGGCCCGCGGGGCGGCGCCCAGGCTGCCGGCCCCCGCCCGCCGGCCCTGGCTGAAGAGCAGGAGCCCATTGGGCTCCGTGGTTCGGAAGTCCAGGGAGACGGAGCCCGTGCGCTTGGCGCTCCAGCGGGGGAGCGCGACAAAGGCATCGGGGCTCTCGAAGGTCACTGGGTCCAGGGCAGCCACATCCTCACAGCGGAATGACAGGTCCCCCTGCAGCTTCATCTTAGGGTCCCCTTCCTTGGCCAGGCGGGACAGTTCCAGCTTGAAGTCATTGTTCTTGTAGACCACCTGCGGGGACGGCGTCACCCCAAGGGTCAGGGAGACAGGCCCAAGTGCCCCAACCAGCCACCAGGGAGCCCCACCCACCCGGGAGCCCCACCCACCCTCCCCACCGAACCTGCAGTGCAGACGGCTCCAGCCTCCCGGGGGAACTTCCCACCCAGAGACCCGGACAGGCAGGCCCCGTCCTCTGCCTGAGACAGCTTTCTGTGGGACCCTCCCGTGCCTGTCTCCTCCCTCTGCTTCTCCCGTCCTGTGGGGGCGCATGGTGGTTATGCCTTGGGCTGCTAACTACAAGGCCAGCGGTTCAAAACCACCAACCCCTCCGAAGGAGGAGGACGGGCTGACGGGCTGCGGTAAAGAGTGAGTCTCGGGAACCCGCAGGGGCAGTTCTGCTGTCCTGTTGGGTCGCTGAGGGTGTGCATCGACTGGACGGAGTGGACTGGACGGAGTGTGTTGGTTTTCGTAGTCATGTACCCCCCACCGCTCCTCACCACCGCCGTACCTAGCAGCTGGGACAGGCCACGTGACTGGCCGAGGTCACCCAGAGGCCGGACTCCCACACAGGTCTTTCTCAGGCCCTGGGCCCCCACTCCACCCCCTGCTGCCTTCGAGGGTCCTCTGAGAGAGAGGAGCAGGCCCCAGGCCCAGCCAACGGGCCTTGGGTTTACAAGAGAGGCATGCCCGCCATCGTGGACTTGGAAGGGACAGAGGGCCGGGGCGCTGGCCAGGCTGGGCTCAGCCGCACGCACGGGGGATGAGGACCATTGGGCCACCCTCCCCCTCGACTCACGTCTTTGAGGCAGCCCATGAAGTTGTTGCTCACGGGCGAGCCGGGGAGGTCGGCGGTGTTGGGGCTGCCCCCGATGTAGAAGAAGTCATCAGAGCCCAGCATGGTATAGTCCTCCTGAGTGTAGCCCGTGGTGGTCAGGATCCCGTCCACTGAGATGGTCACCTGCCCAGCCCACGGAGAGGGGGGGGAGACAGGAGATAACCTGCATCAGCTCCCTGGGAGGAGCCCCGAGCTGGGCGAGGGAGGGGCCGGGGGCAGTGGGGAAGGGGGACCCCATTTTTATGTCTGCTTGTCTGTGAGGAGGAACAGTGGGGGGAGCGGGGAGAGGAGGAAGTTGGTGGCAACACAAGATTTGATGGTTTCAGGGTGAGCTGAGGCCCCCCCACTCCCACCCCAGCTCAGCAGGCACAGGGACCCTGAGATAGGAAACAAGTGGCTCTTATAAATCGCTCTGAAGGGGAGTGGGGACCCCAAAGCAGGGCCCTGTTTGAGAGGACACAGTGGCCTCCTCACTTCTCTTATCTCCCACAGGTGAGGGTCAGAGCTTTCTCCTGAAGGAGGCAGGGGCCCGCCCACCCCCACTCTGGGATTTGTGGGCCTGCCTACGTACAGCTCTGGGCTCCCCCCGACCCCCATCCCCATCTTAACCCGGCATGGAGACGGAAAACCACAGGGCAGGACCGTGGGGACAAGGACTCGGATACCCCAGCCAAGTGCGGGAGCGTCCTGGGCTGCTCCTCCCCACGGCCTCTACGCTTCCAGGGCTCTCCCAGAGTCTGCCCCCCAGGACTCCTCAATCTCTAGCTTGCAGGTCCCCGCCCACAACCATCACTTGATCCCCCAAAGAAATGTCTCTTTACTCTCTACCCTAGTCTGTGGGAGCCCTCGTGGCTGAGTGGGGACCAGCTGCCTGGACTGCTCACCACAAGGTTGGCAGTTCAAAACCACCAGCAGCCCTTCAGAAGGCGGGGCGGGGTGGGGAGGTGCGAGGACCAGGCTTTCTGCTCCGTAAAGAATCAGTCTGGGAAAGCCACGGGGCAGTTCTGCCCTGTCCTGCAGGGGCCCTGTGAGTCGGCGTCGACCTGAGGCAGGAGGCTGTTATTACGGTCTGTGACTCGTACCATCGCATCCAGAACAAGCTCAGAGAGACATCACCCACCGGTGGCACAGAGGGAGCCTGTGCTGCTGGGCAAACAAGTCAGGCATTGCCACCGACCTCCCCCATTAGCGAGAAAGGGCAAGGCCGGAGGAGTGCAAGGCAGCTCAGGCTGCCTGTCTGCAAGCAGGCCACACGTCTGCCTCCCTGCAAGCAGGCCACACGTCTGCCTCCAAAGGAACCCGCTGCCATGGGCCTGGGCTGCAGGGCGCCCGGCCACAGCGCGGGCTCGACCAGGAGCCTGCACAGGCCCTGGGCATTCAGGTACGAACTGGAGGGAGGTACTTGGTGTTCCACGAAGGGCCCAGCAGTGGCCTGAGAAGGCACTGTGGCCTTGGGGGCAGTGACAAGGACAGGGAGTGTCCGCCTGGGCCCTGAAAAGCCTGTCATCGCCTGTCATTGACACAGCAGCTGCACACACCCAGCAGGGCTGGCAGCGTGAGCCGTGGCTGGTGGCACCACCAGGAAGGGGGAGGGCGGGGCGGGAGAGCAGCTGGCCCACAGCCAGTACTACCCTTCCTCAAGCTGCAGAGCCCCCGCACCTTGCTCCCCAACCAGGTGATGAGCAAGGCTTTGAGAACGGTGGGGTATGTGCCAGTCCCTTCCTGGGGTGTTTCCCCCCCCCCAAAAGTACAAGCCACCAGCCATCTTCCAGCACCTGGCCTCCAGGGGTCCCTTGTTGCTAGGGGACAGGGGGAGGGCAGTAGAGATTGGCAAGGGGGGCAGGGTAACTCCTGAGGGGCAGACAGGACTGAGGTTAGGGGAGCGCCCCCCATGCCCGGGTGCTCCCTCTCTTACTGGGCTGGAGCCTGGGGGTGTGGGGAGTGGGGACCCCTGAGCAGAGTGAGGATCAAAGGATCCACTTCCTGGAACCATCAAATCTTGTGCCCGAGGGTGTTTGATTCAAGGGCAGAAGTGACGGAGCAGTTCAAAAGTCTGGGGGGCTTGTTTTGCAAGGTGGGATAGTGGTGGTTTATTTCTTCTTATCTCCATCCCACCCAGGAGTTGGGAGGTAAGAGGTCTGTGCAGAAAAGGGAGGGGCCGAAGGAATGGTCCCAAAACATGGCAACCGGATCAGAGGACAGGGTGGGGGAATGAGGGGAAGACGGGTGACAAGTGAAAGGGGCTCTCTGGGGTTGACCTCCCACCCTCCTCTCCACCTGATGCTCAACTGAGATCCTGGGAGCCCAAGTCTGGTCACCCCAACCAGGTGGTCCACCCCTGGAGGGTCCTGAAACCACATTCATCCCAGCACAGCAGGAGATGCGTGG